CTACTTCAAAGATATGCGTAACACAGGGGTTTTTGATGATAGTGATACACTGCAAACGGAATGTCTACGTTTTTGTTTCATGCATTTAATCCAGAAAGAGCTAAACGACATAGCAAAACGTTGGAATGTGCACAGAATACGCCCTTAAAATAACAGGGTATCACCTCCTGGTAAACCTGACGTGCTTTACCACCTTCCCGAACAGCTTGGCACAAGAAACTACGTTTTTAACGTTGACGTAGATGATCTAGATATTGCTGAAGAAAGCTATGCTAAAGAAAGACCTGCAATGGGATGTGACGATAATTTTGCTGAGCTCGCTAACATGGTCATGGAAGACCACAATTACAACACGCCTAATAATGAAAAAAGAGGCACGTTCTTTATATATTAACTTGTTACACCATATAAATGCTATCTGAGACGAAAGATATACTTTAAGACTAGCAAACAGTAAAATCATTTTACTGTTTACATTCTGATTACGTTAAATCGGTGACAGTGTTAATGGTTTATATTCGTACTTTACGTTAAGTCTAAAAAACACTTTAACTTAAGAGTTAAGAAACGTTGACCATGTCAAGCGTTATAGCCAATACCAGTAGAAATCTTTTTCGCAAATCGATTCATTTTCCAATTATCCAATGATTATTCACAATACAATTTGTCCTGAAATTAAACTAGCAGCCAATTGTATTGGGAATAAGCAAATGGCATGGTAAGATTATTTTATATTGTACCTGCACTGAGCACACAAGTTACAGTTATTTAACACTTATACAAGTATAGGCTACAATGCCGGATATAAAGTAAATATATACATACCAAGGACTAGTTCAAAAGTTGAACTTTTCATATGCCAAACCTAAAATTCGAATTGACAAACAAGTGTGCACCTGGTTAGGTCATTTACATTATAATAGGTTCGACATATGAAAACCACAATGTTTGAAATAAGCGGGTTATTGGCCTAAAGGATTTAAATTTTGAAAAACAAAACACATCCTGGTTAACTCTGTTTGATAGCTAGTGTATGTATACAATAAAATAATTAGAGTCTATTTTCATACATGTATCTTTAAGTTGCTTGAATTAAAAACTCAAAGATGACGAATTTCAAGTCGAAGAAAAAATATGAATTCTTTAATGTGAAGACTTAATAGATATAAGCTCACTTACAAAAACAAACAACTATTAAAACTATATAATAATCTAACAAATAAACGATTTACTGCTGTAGCTGAGACAGTACGTATTCGACATCTAAGTCAGACCATGGATTGTAAAATAACTGGATAGGAAACTTCCTGATGTCATTGACCTCATCCTTGTTGAAAAACGTGATGTCACACATATATTGCGAATATTACCAAAGTTCTCGGCATTTTTGTTGTTTTCCTATATTTTCCACTTTAAAAGGGTGATATTGGCTGTTTTTATACTAGAGACGCATTATGCGTCTGGACGAACTTGGGCAAGCATTTGTTGTTCGTCTGGTTATGCGTCCTTAGTATAAAGACTGGCACAAGACGCATTATGCGTCTAGACAAACTATGTTCGATTCTTCGTCTTGAGAGACGCACAACCGATGATAGTTTGTCTAGACGCATAATGCGTCTTGTGCCCGTCTTTATACTAAGGACGCATAACCAGACGAACAAATGTTGATAGTTCGTTGCGTTAAAACGCTGTTTTTATACTAGAGATGCATTATGCGTCTGGATGCATAATCCGTCTTCTACATTATTCGTCTAGTATTATTCGTCCCGTCTTTATACTAGATGAATAATGTAGAAGACGGATTATGTAGAAGACGGATTATGCGTCCAGACGCATAATGCGTCTCTAGTATAAAAACGGCCATTGATGCATAAACTAGTCAAATTGTTTTAAAAACATGCCTAAGCCACGACAAAGTATTCAAGGTAAATGTTTTTCAAATTTGTTTTGTATTTTTTTTTGCATTTGTAGCTACGACATTGGCGTCACAAATTTTAACGAAATTTGCACTGTATTTTTCACTGTTTAGTGCTTGAAATATTTGCTAAAATTGACTGGGAATACTTAGAGTTTTCATTGTAGAATGGCGTGGTTATATTTATTTGCTCTTTGACTAAAATGTTTAGCTGTATTATTGCTAAACATGCTGTTTTTGAGAATTTGGTTTGCAACTAGGTTTCAACATCCAACTACGCCATCAGCCCATTGAAAACATTAGGTCACGTCAGCTAGTTTCCTATCCATCCATTTTATTATCCATGGTCAGACCATTGTCCATTGCCAGTTTATATAAACAAATGATACACAAACTAGTGTATTTACCAAACTCAACATTTGAAATGATAGAAACTACTGAAAGTATTCACATGTCTATTAATCATGTTTGATATACTGCCGTTCACTGATATTATGAATACAAATAAAGTCTCATTTCAAGAGTATATATTTTCTAACCGCAAAGAATCCCAATATTTTAATCATTGTCATTAAGATCCCACAAATTGGGATTATGCATGTAAAAATCGAGATTTTCAGAGAAATGGGCGTACGATTGATGATTTTTGGGCATCGTGAGAATTCCAAAACACGTTTTCGATTTTGGTCGCATACCAAGGTCTGGCATTGATTCCATCAACACTTTGATAAGCTTGTGAGGAATCACCAATTCACTTCCAGTGCAGAAACGCATAAAACGAGATAAAATCTTCCGGGTTTGATTCTTTAGATATCGCACAAGCCATCTTGAAACTTTATCTTCCTGTGGGGTCGATGTTTGGAAATATACACAGCTCGAGATGTTGGTGAATGTCGGGGAACAACAACTGTATATGGCTTTGATTTCTTCAGCACTGACACCATTCCAAAACGATCCCATCCCCTCTTTCAGCTTATGTATACTTTATACGTTTCTGGATATTTTCTCAATTAAATCGGACAGGTTCGACCGCCAAGCAGGGGCTGCATATTCAACAGCAGATCTTATGAACGAACAATATATTGACTAAGACCAACACACTTAGGCTGACTTAAAGTATAAAGTCTATAGAGTTTGCCTTTTATATCGCGCACACACACACGTGAAAAGTCAACATAACCTCCTGGGGGAGGTATTAAAATACAATATCTCAACAACATTAAGAACTATCTGATTGAATGATCGATTAACTTTTTCTTAATTGGTTTTAATTAACGAAGATTGTAAAGAAAGTGCTTCTTATTTGGCATATTGTAAACACTGGACTGGACTAGGTTTGGACTGGACTTTGGACTGGACTTTGGACTGGACTTTGGACTGGAATTTGGACTTAAACGTTTCTTTTTACAGTAAGTTTCGCATAAATCCCCATAATTATCATTAGAAACAACGAAAAGGAGCTCAATAGGTCCAATACAAAAACTTACGTTGTGTCTGCAAGATTATGCATGCCAATTTCGTTCCCAGAGCGTGCCCGTTCGCAGGTTAGGGTAGGTTGTACACATGCTCGGCAATTGTTGCAAAATATAAAATTTTGAAATTCGAAAATTAGAATTTCTCGTCGAAAATCTGATACTTTTTTAACTGAAATCAATTGAAAACAACTAAAAATTCAGGGCGTTAGCCAGAAGTAAAAAAAAATCCGCGTTTACCTGAAATTGGGAAATTTATTTTAAATTTTTTATCGGAAAAATTGTTTTTGGGCGACCCCCCCCTCGTCGCCAAAAAAATTTCGGTCAGTACCATTTTAGGGGTCCAAAAATTTTTCCATACATATCAAAATTTTTCGCAACAATTTTTTGTGTCTTTGAAACGGCATTTCCCATATTTTGGGAGTAATTTTGAGCAAATGTTGTTATAAACATTTTTTAATGGCGTATTAACAACATATTGACGGCAAGATGGACGGCAAGATATGGTACTGGTCTATTGTCAGATGTGAAAAAAAATAATTCAATTTTTATGCTATTTTTTGGCTGACCCAAATTGGGAAATTGCGACCTCAAGGTAATTGGGAAAACTGTGTTTAATGCGGAATTTTTGACTGTAGCTAACACCCTGAAATTCTGGGGGTAATATGCACGAATGCTCGGATTGATAGAAATACAACTACCTGAACTGATAGAAGGAGAACTTGACGTTTCGAGCGAAGGCACTTCAACTTGTACTGTTATTGTTAATGTTTGTTGTACTCGTATCATGATAAATATAATCTCCTCAACAACGAGAGAATGTTTACTGTGAATTGTGGACCTAACACTACGTATACCATAAATTCTGCCAGGATAGTAAAATTTAACGAATTGCTATGTCACACACTATGTCCGCAGCCGGACAATGTTTTGAAAAAAAACTAAATGTCCGGCAGTAGCGACTATATTTCAAGGTAAAAACGTTTGTTTGCACTAGTTTTTACAGAGCTTGCCATTAGCGCATTCGGCAGAGGCGCTGCTTGCGAGAAGTGAAACAGGGTTGGGATGTGTTTCGTCCGACTTATCACTGTTGTTTTTTCTTAAACTTTTAAACTTTTTTTTCCAGCTTTTCTAACTCTTTTGAGGTTAAGATTAGAGAATTAGGGTTTGGGATTGGTTTATCAGATAAAAATTCAACTTTAACTACAGTCACTATATATACTGCTGGACATTTAGTTTCTTCAAAATATTGTCCGGCTGCCGGACATATAGTCTGTGATATAGTCACTTCGTTAAATTTTACTATCATACCAGAATTTATGGCATACGTAGTGTTAATAGGTCCAAGTCCAGTCCAGTCCAAAGTCCAGTACAAAGTCCAGTACAAACCTAGTCCAGTCCAGTGTTTACAATATGCCCTTCTTATTTTGGTCAAATTTCAGCATCGATTTTATGGGAAACGTCGCTAGTTTAAATCAACACAACTTTTGACTAGCAGGATATTTTTAGTGTCATGGTACTTACTACACTTACATGATGTATTTTAACCATAAAGTTACCCTCGCAATAGTGAGTAACAAAATTATCCAAAAAAACTGCATACACTTCTTTGTTTACGCCTTCGCCTGCTGCATCTTCATCTTTAAATAGCAAAGGTACTTTTTTTTCATAATTTCACTTTCTCTGTACAGCTCCAGGAGATCTTTAACACAATTGCTGCGGCTAACTTCCATCACTTCATGTAATGGAAGCTCGTCTCGTATTGTTCGGCGCTTTACTTCAAGGCGTTTCATAAGCTCCATGGCACATTGTTCTTCATATGTAGGGATCGTATCCTCTTCCATAAACTGTTTCGGAAGATCAGATATTATCTGGATGTCACTCTCGATCATTTCTTGCTGGGTCGAGGGGAGACTACTATCACTAGCTGTGTGACATTGAGTCAATGGAACAGGATCTTCCTGTTTAATCAGGTAGAGGACAGATGATCCCACAGAAGACACATTTTCATCAGCATATAGATAAGCTCGTGGAAAGGCGTGTGCAAGGAAGAAATGTTCTGGGGATGGAGCTAAAGAGCCTATCCAATTGTACACATCCAGCATCTTGGAGGCCGAACTGAATGGTCTGGATACCGAACCTAGGTCAGGATGACGTACAGAGATAATGACATGTGGGTTGTTTGTATCTGGTAAAGGCGGAGTCAATCGTTCTCTTGCCATCCTCAGTCCCTCTTTATGTGCAGTACATCCTCAGTCCCTCAGTATGCACTTCCTTCTCTACTTGAAGTTGTTCATCTCTAGCATTGTCAATTGCAAGAGATGCCTCATAGTCTTGTTGAACTTGGTTAAATAGCTCCTGGCGTTCCTCCGATGTTCCAATTAGAAAACTTTCACCTCTTGACTCCTGGTTAAGAGAAGATCTTTGATAATCTCCCGGAAGCTGTTCTATCAACTCCTCTGCCTCGTTTGACAGACGTATCGGTGGATACAATTGAGGACAGCGGATCCTTGATTGGAGAGGTGGGCCATGGAGGGCTCATCAATTTTTCATCATCAGAGTCTTCTCAGGATGATACAGTATGCATTTCCTTTCTCTTCCTGGTTAGAATAACTAACTTCAGCTGAAAACTTCAGCTGAAACTTCAGCTGAAAAGCTTCAGCTGAAAAGCTGTCTGACATGCCGATAATATCATGTTTAAAGTCTCCTAGTTCAACATCTAAATCTTCGAGGCTTCCCTCTGCATTTTTACCACCTGGAAAAATAGATCTTGCGCTTCTTTTAAACAAGCTTCTGGACCAACTTCTCTCAAAATATTTTCTATTCGCATGCCACCGCCCTGCTGTGCGCTCTTTAATTTGTACTTGTTTCCGTCAGCTGAATGCTTCCATCTAAATTCAAACTTTAAAGTCGTTTTTTTCATTTTCTTAGATAGGGATGGGGTTCCTTTTTCTTGACTCGTTTTTGGTGATGTTCTGGTACTCTTTCCTTCTTGTACAATTTCCTTTAATTTCCTCATTTTGGATGCTCTATCATTTTCACCACCTATGTTTCCATCTTTGTCTACGACAGAACGCACAAAGTTTTGCCTGATCGCCCTTTGCATGTAGGCCCAGTTCGTGAAGCTCATCATTCGTCATAAATTGTACAGCATCTTTGTCAACCTTAAATGTAAATAAGTCATTGATATTTTTGCTAAAAAATACATAACCCTTTATTTGTGACTACTAACTACAAATATTTGACGTTTTTAGATCAAAACCACTTCAGATAAAATGTCTATTTTACTCCAACAACATTGTCAATTGAACATAAGGAAAGGGGCATTACTGTCCAGCCAGTCCACAAATTTTATCACTTATGGTATTTGTAAAAAGCCGTACTAAACTGGTCTTTTTATATATGTTATTTATTATGCAAAATAACTCAACATAATTACATAAACTATAAATGTTTACATAATTGTCCGTGTCTCAACTTTAATGTCTTCTCTCAAAAGTGTTTTTTTTTTACACGAGGAGATCCACGTGACCATAACCCACCAATAACAAAACGAACCATAATATTTAACCAATATGAAGTATAAGAATTAAGAATTACGTAAATGTTTTCTACAGTATTTACATGACATTGTACGTTTCGTCAATTAAAAAATTCCAAAAAAAAATCGAATCCCCCCCCAATCTGAAAATAGCTAAATCTAGGGGGGGGGGGATTCCCCACAAAATGGAATATGACTATCATTATTAATATTAAACTGGTAAGTGGTAATGCATATAACATCGAGTATAAAAATGGGTAATCACTTGGATACTGTATGATACCGGTATATTAATTTGTGATTTCACTTTTAAAATTCTATAATGAAAGTCAGAAGGAGAAGAAATTGAGTTTTGTTTTTAAAAAAGTTCCTTCAAAACATTTTGCAAGAATGAATTCTACATTAATACTGTATATGAATTTCGTAGAACACCCAAATTCGAAATTTATATGATTAAAATTTTAATTTCTTCTCATACTTTGGGACAAAACATATATCACCAGGAAGTCGGTGATAAGGTTACAATTACATCTGACCAGCGGTTTCTTATTTTAAGATATTTCATGTTGGCAAAAATTTTAGGAAGTTTGGCTATTTGGTTCCCTGCTCACAGATGTCTCCATTTGTGCAGGAAAGTGAAGAAGAAGAGAGCTCTGCCTCGACCTTACACTTCCTCAGTCCATGATCGTGGACAAGTCAAACCAGTTTGTAAAACAAGTTCTGAAACCGGCTTAGGGAAACAAATTGTATGCATGCTCACAGCTGAATTATGATGTAATTAATGACATTGAACCCGCAGTGTCAAAATCACGGTGGTCAGTTGCTACGTTGTTTTCCTCCGGAAGCGCAGGCTCGCGCGCAGCTAGCGGTATGCCCCATGAGACTACATTTTTGCCTCGCGAAATATTTAGATATGGCTGCCTGTTCTGACGAAGTATTAGCAGCACTTTCGGCGCTTAAACTTGGTTCATCTGGTGATGATACCGAGCGATCGGAGAAATTTTGGAACGCTGCTGCGGTGGCTATGAAATTTTCTGTGGAAAAGCTGTGGTTGGATGCGGTTTGGAAGTGCAAAGAGAAGCCAAATTATGGCATGCGAAGGCTCGACGCTATACTTGAAGAGAGGGCTGCTAATAAGTTTGAGCTAACCGGCCCCCTCATTGATGGCTATCTTCGTGAGCTAGGAAAGGGGATGTTTTCGAAGCTTGGGCGTTCGAGAAACACTGGCCTTATGCCACCAGTGAAGTTGTTCGTGCCATACACAATATTTCGGCATTTATGCAATGTCACTGTGACTATTGAGTCGTTCGAGACCGCCACGAAAGTTTTTTCACCTGTGAGATTTGGTGGGAGTAATTTTCTGAAGAAGAGATATTTTAATAAAGTGAGGGAGAATGGCCGCCAAATTCTGGTTTATTCAGGAAGGGCTGCTGTTGTTGTGGGGAAGTCAACGCCAATATTGTTCAACTATAATATGAAGCAAGAGAAACTTACTTTAACATTTTATATTCAGCGTTACAACAAGGAAGACTTTTGCTTGGACTTGAGACTGCAAGCATTGATCAACAAGTAACTATGGGTATATATTATACAATATGATCGACTGATTAGTATAAACACTAACACTATAATAAACTGGTGCATGAATACAAATACAGAGTAAATAGTAATCTACAATTTCGTTAGCTATTTAATGTAGCCTATTGCAGTTTTGAATCAATACTAAAGTTAATGCACTGTTAGATTATATACACCAACTTGTTTAAACTTTCTATCTTTCTGAGATGCAAACTATATATGCAAATTGTTTTTATAATTATGCCAGTTGCCAAAAGGTAATTTCATCCCAGGTACTAGTGGCTCACACCAAGCTCTAGTTTTTGCCTAATGCAATATAAATATGTGTTGAAAAACTTCAATTTACTATGATTTCACCCACATACAGTATGGTTATGGGCACCCTATTAATTTGCCTGGTTAGTATGCTTGTAGGTTGCAGAGCTATACATGCTTACAGAATGTATAACCGATATCCTACCCACAACCTACAGGCCTTAAAATATCTTTTACAGGGCCGTCTGACAAATTGTCCGATGACTTAGAGTTTGGGTAGGACATGTGTATGATGATGTCTGATGACCTTCAGTTCAGTTTGGCTTGGAAATAAGTCTGACTGACACAAATATCAGCATAATGTATTAATTCTGAATTGTAAGTGTTGTGAGGATATTAATTAAATAATTTGTGTCATTCATACTTATTTCCAAGCCAAAATTAACTTGCATGCCAATAACAACAGTAAGATGTCGACAGTTAAGTTTGTTTTCCACTTCACTATTTCGCTCGCCGCC